ACCCATGTCACCTTATCAAGACCCGCACCTGACCCAATGTCCTCGTGGGTGGGGTGGGTGCAGGTGGGTGCGGGTCTGGGTACCCGGTGCTCATCTCTGCCCCTTCCCACCTCTCCCTCTCCCCTATCCCAACCACTATCCCCCCTCCTCTATCCCGGGGATGGTCCTCCTCCCCCTTCTTCACTCCCATCCCGACCACTTCCCCTCCGCATCCCGACTTGTCCATCCTTTCCCGTGTCCCGACTTCCATCCCTCCCTCCTCCGGACTCCCATCCATCCTGACTCCCATCCCGATCTCTCCCCCTTCCCATCCATCGCCTCCGACCTCCTCTATCCATCGATCGCAACCTTTCTCCTCCCCATTCCGACCTCTTCCCCCTTTCCTTCGTTCGCTTACTTCTCTCTCTATTCCCGACTCCCATCCCAACCTGTCCCGACGTTCTTCGTGCTAGATCCCTCCTCCCTCCTCTATCCCGACCTCTCTCTCCATAGATCTCCCCTCCCTCACCACTTCCCCTCCCCATCCCGACCTCTCCATCCTTTCCCGTATCCCGACCTCCATTCCTCCCTCCTCCAGACTCCCATCCCAACCTCTCCCCCTTCCTATCCCGACCATATCCCGACTCCCATCCCGATGTCTCCCCCTTCCCATCCGTCGTCTCCGACCTCCTCTATCCGTCCATCGCGATGTTTCCCCTCCCGACTCCCATCCCGACCTCTCCCTCTCCCCATTCCGACCTCTTCCCCCTTTCCTTCCTTCGCTCCTCTCCTCCTCCTCATTCCGACCTCTTCCCCCCTTTCCTTCCTTCTCTTACTTCTCTCTCCATTCCCGACTCCCATCCCGACCTCTCCCGACTTTCTTCGTGCTAGATCTCTCCTCCCTCCTCTATCCTGACCTCTCTCTCCATAGATCTTTCCTCCCTCCTCCTCCTTTCCGTCGTTCTCTCTCCCTTCTCTCCTCCTGCTTTCCGTGGGGTGCCACGTGGCACATTGGTGTGTGCTGCAAAAAAAAAAAAAAAAAAAAAAAAAAAGACCTTTCCGACGCCCTTCCCCTTCCCGACTCCGATCTCGACCACTTCCCCTCCCCAGCCCGACCTCTCCCTCCTTTCCCGTATCCCGACTTGAATCCCTCCCTCCTCCCGACTCCCATCCCGACCTCTGCCCCTCCCCATCCCGACCATATTCCGACGCCCTTCCCCTTCCCGACTCTGATTCCAACCACTCCCCCTTCCCATCCCGTTCTCTACATCCTTTCCCGTATCCCGACCTCCATCCCTCCCTCCTCCCGACTCCCATCCCGACCTCTCCCCCTCCCGACCTCTCCCCCTCCCCATCCCGACCATATCCCGACTCCCATCCCGACTCCCATCCCGATCTCTCCCTCTTCCCATCCATCGCCTCCGACCTCCTCTATCCGTCCATCGCGGCCTCCCGACGCCCATCCCGACCTCTCCTCCTCCCCATCCCGACCTCTCCCCCCTTTCCTTCCTTCGCTTACTTCTCTCTTCATTCCCGACTCCCATCCCGACCTCTGCCGACTCCCATCCTGACTTCTCCCTCCTTCCCTTCCTTCGTCGACCTCTCCCTCCATCGCCTCTCCCTGTCCCCTTCCTGACTCCCATGCCAACCTCTCCCCCTCCCTATCCCGTCCTCTCCCCCCTTTCCTTCCCCATTGTCTATCCCGACTCCCATCCCGACCTCTCCCCCTTCCTATCCATCGCCTCCAACCTCCCGTATCCGTTCATGCCGACCTTTCTCCTCCCGACTCCCATCTCGACCTCTCCCCCTCCCCATCCCGACCTCTCCCCGACCTCTCTCTTCTCCCCTTCTGTCGCCGACCTCCCCTATCCCTCCTTCGCCCTTCTCTATCTTGACTCCCATCCCGATCTCTCCCCCTTCCCATCCATCGCCTCCGACCTCCCCTATCCCTCCATCCCGACCTTTCCCCCCTTCCCATCCTTCCCGCTAGATCCCTTCTCCCTCGCCCTCCCTCCTCCCGACTCCCATCCCGACCTCTCCCCCCTTTCCTTCCTTCGCTTACTTCTCCCTCCATCCCTGACTCCCATCCCGACCTCTCGTGATTCCCATCCCGACTTCCCTCCCCCTCCTCAACCCCTCCCGGCGTGGTCCCAACGTGTCTCGCCGTCCCTTCTCCCTCCGTCTCTAGCCCGACTCCCCTCCCCTTCCTTTCCGCTAGGTCCCTCCTCCCCCCTTCTCCTTT